ACTTGAAGCTTTACATGAGGAAGAGGGCAAGTGTTGGAGGTAGTTCGTTTGTAAAAAAAAAAAAAAAACATAAGTGGCTGCCAACTTAAGAGCCTCAAAATTATATCTGTCTGAACTGCAACATATATTTCTTTTCCTCTTCCTATCTTTGTTATTAAATGATGTGTTTGTAATGCAGAATTCATTTACATCAGTTCCAAGCTTTTATTACATTCTCAGTCAAGAATGTAAGACGTCTTTCTCAATAGGTCTCAGTGGTGTCTGTACAGACAATCTGTTTATGATAATCAACTGACAGGTGCATTGCACGGAGAGAGATTAAAATTAAAATGTTGGCACTGTGATAACACATCTCTTCATATCTCTTGACATGAAGTACCTCAAAGTGAGGGGTTCTTTTAGAGATTGAGTACCTTCCCTATTTCTGCTAGAAATAGACCCTGTACTATTATGCACTATCACAAGCCTTATTTTAAATCTCCACACTAGGTTGCAGGTGTGCATTCCTAGATATAGGAATTACCTTCAATTAGGAATTTAAACCGCTAAGTATTTCTCTCGTCACATGACATGCTTGCATTGAGTACACCCAGAGGTTTCTCACATTACATGATGTTTTGCAAATATATGATTTTTGTGCTAATAATTTGCCTTGCATGGGCAGTAATTAGTTTCCTGTGAATGTCTGGCATGTTTCCCTAGAAGGTGCAGGAATTCTGGATACTCTCCTGCTGTCAGAGCTGTCCTTATTATCATGGCAGGTTGACGCAGCCGATCCCTAGATGCACCCAGCATTCATTCATTGCTTTTACACGAATATGATGAATTCACTGATGATGATGAGGAATCTGATAGTGACGACCCCCTAGATGATAGTGATAAAGATAGGGATTGTGTATTTGGCAAAAATTATTCTGAGAGCGATGAAAGCAATGATGATGAGCATGAAGGCAGCTCTGCCACCACCTTGTATTTAAGTTATTTGTATGATTTTGTTTTGAAAATAAGTTTATTCAGTTTATGTATATAGTTTTATGGAATAAACCAATGGTTGCATGGAAAATATGCTGGAAGATAGCGTATGAAGCACATCAGAAACAAAGGGAGAAGATGTGGCAACAGCAGGGGTGGGGAAGTCCCAGTCTGGCAACCTAGTGCAGGCTGATCCCTTTAAAGGTTTTATTTGCGTTTCTTGGTTGATTTGGGGTTATTTGGGCTAAGAGAAAAAAAAAATGATTTTTTGTAACCTCTGGGGGTACCCAATTGTAAACTAATATATCAGCTAATGGGTTATGGGGAAGAGTCGTCGGTACAATCACAAAGTCTGTTTTCCGGTCCTCCTTGCTTTAGTTTTTTTAGCTAGGTCATTAATTATTTTACACAATGTGCATGGATATAAGATGCTTGAGCATAAAAAAATTTACTTAAAAAAGCTGCGTAAATTTTTGCGCAAAAAAAAAATAACGCACAAGATGATAGAATTAGCAAATTATGTCATAGTTTCCTTATAGTGAATAGTACTGGTTTCCTTCTTACCAGAGTTAGTCAACAAATAGGAGTACCAAATGTTGCATTTATGTAAATCTATCTGAAATGACAATGTTTCAGTTACCCTTTAAAAATGCGCCTTTTTTTTTGTCCGAAAATCGCGATTATTTTTTTTCAGTAAAAAATGTATTTGGTGGAAATAATGCATGACTTTGCTACAGTTAGTAAATACGAACTGGACGATCATTTTGCAACAAGAATTATTAAAATTGCGTAATCACATACTATCATGCGTGAAAATATGATTTTGAGAAAATAGCAGTTTATGTCATTCATCTTCATGACACCATAAAGGTCATACCAATGATTACCAAATGTGAATATCTACTTAGACAATTCCTTGGCCTTTAATAGGAGTCCTGTGGTAGAAGGTCAGGCCTTGTTCAAGTAATTTTAGGTCATCTTTATGTAAAAGTTAGGTTAGGTTAGGTGGGAGTGTTCTCTGAATGGTATACTTTCAGATGTCAAGGCACCTGGTTCCCTGTCATTTACATATCATAATACATCATAAATCATATATTAGGCATTTCTTATATATATATGACATATTGCCAGGTTTTCAACAGGTTGAAAACATGTACTCCTGACAACTTTATCAATAGCACTGTTCTCCCGTCCTTGCTGCTGCTGCCTGCCTGCTGAACGCAGCCTAAACTATCGTACAGCAGTATCATACCAAAGAAATTTGCAAAAACAGCCCCCAAAACACTGAAAATACAAGAAAAACAAATCATGAAGCAAAAAGGGGTGTGGCAGCGTGAGGGCATTTAAATACTCCGGACATTTAAACCGCGGGAAGGAGCGCGTTATACATCTGTCAACCGGCGCCCTGGGTGCGTCACATGGTCATGTATCCACACACAAAGTTTGAAAAAATCGTAATTTGTGGCCCCTACCGATGACTCTTCCCCTTAATCAGCGTAATATTGGTGACCTGAAAACTGGGAAAAAATCATCAAAATTTCTTGCACAACCATTGTAAACATCTGCAAAAATTGCATCTCTGACTTGAGAAAACATCTGCAAAAATTGACTTGGCTGTGAAAAAGAAAGAAAGAAAGAAAAAAAAGTGATGCTTCTACTGATGGTGCAACTATGCAGAGACAAATACTGTTACTGTGACAATATATTATTACCTAGGTGTGGAAGTGGTCTGATCATCAGGGTGAAGTATTGTGGAATTTGTAAATGTGAAAACCCCTGAAGTACTCATAAATCTTTTGCCAGGATTTTCTTCTTCAATTTCATCTTCTTCAAGGTCAGACATGGAGTAGACATCCAAGTTCAAATGCTCAGTGCCAGCACCACCCTGACAAAACAATTCACAGTTAGAAGGTATTTAATATCATCTGAAAATATCTATACAACAAACTACTGACATATAACCTAATATAATGCCTACCCAAATCTGTGCACATAAAAAATACAGACGCAAAGATACATATGCATGTATACTGTGACACAAATACAAAAAGATTAAGAGGTACATAGATATATCAGCACATAACAGACACGCACAAACATACATGCACACACATGTACACACAAATATGCACACACACGCACAGGCACGCAAGCACACACGCACGCACGCACGCGCGCACGGAGGCGCGCATGGACACACACACACACACACACACACACACACACACACACACACACACACACACACACACACACACACACACACACACACACACACACACACACACACTTATCCATCTTATCCACTCCAAGCCTCTACAATGTCATACCTTGATAGCCACTCCTTCCCTTTCTTCTAGCAATCCACCAAGGTGAGGTGTTGCAAGGCGGGACCACTGGTGTAGAGTTAGTGAACCTTCAATGGGTTTCACTATTTGCAGTTTCTGAGGCAGCTTCCAGTCACTCTGATTACTTCCAACAAATGTGCTTAGTCCAGACTTGCCACTACCTACAATTCAGAGGTGAGTGGAAAATTTTTAATTGAACCAATGTTGCATTATTGTTGTGCATCCATTCTTTTTTATGAGTGAGGAAATTCTTATATAAAGATGTTGAATTGTGTATTTCTTTCCAATCTATAAAAGTAACAATGAGTCTGTTGTAGCCTTTAAAGGTTTTTTTTAATGTATTCTTTAGTATTATTCAATATTTCTCATCAACAGATGAAGTCAATATGATAAGCAGTTTTGATGGAAATTGTTTGTAATGTTTGTCCAACTAAAAATACAAATTTGATTTGGTTGACATGAAATCAAGTGATGTTTCGCCACTGATGACACTAGAAGTGTTGTATAAAAGGCTAAGGTGCAGTAGAATAAATTCCTATTAGTTTGAGGCAAAATATGATGATGATTCAGTGGTGGAGGAAGAAGGTCATGAGGCCAACAGCTGAGGAAGACATAGAGAAAGGGAAAAAGAAAAAAAAAAGAATAAATCAATGAGGCTAATAGAGAAAGAACAGAAAGGGTAAAGAGAGAGAGCATGAATATGAGAGAAAATTAGGGCAAGATAATTAATAAATTAAAGAGAGAATTAGAGGAGGAGAAATATTAATGAAAGGGAAAAAAAACAAGAATAAGATAAAAAGAGAGGTTTGCTGAGAGACAATAAATAAATGAAAGAATGAGAGAGAAAGACAGTGAAAACAGGGATTGGCCTCTGGAGAAGTGCTTCAAATAAGGGCTTCCTTTCCTAAAACTTGAGACTGCTGTGCGGCTGTGACACACTGGGGCAGACTTCATCAAAACTACTCATCATACTACTTTCAAATGTAAATTAACTCATTATATGATACCATGGAGAAAGTTTTGACAAATTTGTGAGAATTATTTCTTGACTCTGATTATAACCCTTAATTATATGGAGTAAATTAAGAAGGTTACCTATTATCACACAAACTCTCAGTGATATTTACCAGTAGACATAATAGAATCAGGTGTACGGCATCCATATGGTAGAAACTGTGAGCGTTCTCCTGGACCAAGTCTTCTTAAACAAGAGTCAAGGTCTGGGGTTCCTGGCCATCCTGGTACACCCAAGTGACTCCCACTGTATTGTAAATAACATGAAGTTAGAAAACAACATAATTCTATATCATATACAAATCATAAGTATAGTATATAAGCACCTATCAGCTTCAAGACACAAATACTCACGGATAATTGTCCTCTGAGTCTGTGTGCAGAGATGCATCAGAATCTGCCCCAGAATCTAATGATGGGTGGCCCGATCCTCCAGAATATACAGATGAGCCTCTTGAGCTCATGTATGACACTCCATATGTTACTCCACTTGATACCATATGAGTTGGTGTGGCCAGGTGAGATGGAGTATGTGGGTGATGAGTTGGTGTGGAGTGCATGGAGCCTCCATAACCTAAAGAACTCAGAGATCCTTGTGACCCAGAACCAGGATATTTGCCAGTCATACGAACAGTATCAAATGTACGCCGCATGCTGTTACTGAAAAATAAATATAGAGTGCTATACTGCCTTTTACTAAAATAAATAAAACTTTTTTGCATGAATATTACTGCAGTTAAATTTACTTATCATAAACATAAGTCTCTCTCTCAAACATACACGTATTAATCTTTTGCTTTTTAAAGTCTTAACCCAGTATCATCCAACATAAAAATAATTTGTTGTTCCATAATGACAGACTCAACACATTGGCACTGTACACTTAAATTTTCTACTGTGTTTTAATTCTATCAATTTTGTTTTAGATGGCATCACAAGGATTTAGTCATCTGTTTAGCCTATTCCTTGAATATTCTGAAAAAAAGCTTTATTTCTAATAATATTATCATTATTAATGTTATCATTGTCATTATCATCACCAGTTTTGTCTATTTTAGGAATAGTGGGATTTCTTAAAATAATTCAGATCCAAATGTCACTGCATGATTTCTGAATCCAGACAGCAAATCTTTATTCACAAAGGCATTCAGATTTTCAAGGCGACAGATACAGCAGATGAAAAATGCTGTACATCTGATTATGACATGTAGGGTACAACATTTGTGTTCATGAGTATTTGAGCTGGGAGAGGATTGTTGACCCTAACACTAAAGTTAATGACATTTGGACTAAGAAGTAAGAAACTAGATAAAAGAGAGGCCCTCAAACCCAGGAATAGTGCACTTTTGCTCATCTATTATCATTACTATCATTATCATTATTGTCATCATTATTATCATCATCATCAGCTTCATCATTATAAATATCAACATATTTATCATCATAATTATCCTTATCATTATAAACCCTATCATTAATATCTTAATTGTTATTATTGTCTTTATTACCAACATAATGTAATGCAAATCATAATAGTAATAAGAATAAAGAAAACTTTCTTTAAAAAAAATCAAGGAATGGAGAAAAGGTGAGATCAGATAGGCCTAGTAATAGACTCCTTTGTGACAATGTACAGTCATCTATGTGCCAACAAAATTAACCAAACAAAGCCACAGTGGGAAGTGCAAGTATAGTTGCACACACCATACTATTACAAATCATAGTTACTTCCTTGTTAATGGTTACAAAGCAAAATGTGCTAGACAGTTATTTCCTGGTATCTATTGTCTTTTACTGATGTATATCTAAATAAAATAAATATATATAAATAATATTTTACTGTTTTCTCAGGTAAAAACAAGTTTGTACTACTGTACCATGATTTGTTTTAGAAATGAATGGTTTATTATCCTTTATGGGTAAAAAAATAGGAAAATATGTTGTATTTAGGGGTTAATCTTAGTTCTTCAGCAAATACTACTTAGGACTAAAAGAAACACAAAAATGCAAAATTATTTTTTGACCACAAGAACTGTAATGACATCATTCAAGGCCAAAATAGCTTTCGTATCTGAGTACTACGTGAATAAATTTAGCAAGCACAAGAAAAAAAAAATTGTATCTAAACCTCGCATCTCACATTTGTAATATCTTCCTGTAGTTGGTCCTTGTGATGTAAACTGGTGATTATAACATGGGAAACCATACTGCCCACAAGACAATAATATTTATCCTGGGCAGAGCTATATAAATTATGACAGGAATGTAGAGCCTCCAATAATGCTGACACCCATATTTCCTGAGTAAGTTCTTGTTTAGAAAAATGCTGTTTAGTTTTCTAATTCTGTTTCTCCAAATATTAGAGTAAACAGTATGGTGCAAAAGGATAATGCAGTACACTGCTTGATTTTAATACTCCAAATTTTGGGTACTAATCCATTTTGGATAAAATAATAGGATACCATATCATAATTCCCTTCATGGTACCATATGGGAAGGAAGGGATTCTCAAATGTGTACAGGTGCTGTGGCCTCAAATTCACCAGAGAATGACAAAAATATCTGCTGCATATTCAAAGATTAAGTCCACAACACCCTCACACAGCCTCTGGCTTTATGTCATTTTTCTGCAAGTTGGCAAGACATGCTGATAAAGGAGGGGGCTTGTTCCCCTGTCCAGGGAATAAATAAAAAGTAAGAAAGGCTACATTAAGGTTTTTGATTTTGTTTCATACCCTAGTTTTGGGACTCTTTTGTACTGATATTGCCATCCACAATACACCATTTCCTCACAATAGGATTTTCAAATAAGGAGAAAAAAATTACATTTTCTGGTTTACATTGGTTTTCTTGTATGATTTAATGTATTTATTCAATGTTCAGACACAAATATCTACTTTCATAACTGAAAAAAGAACAAGGAAAAAATAAAAAAGGTACCTTTACCTAATATGGTCCCTCAGAAAAATAATTGAAAAGTACACTAAAAAGGAAAAA